TGTCATATTCTATCACTTCCACAGTACTCATCTCTATTTTTTCCCTGCCTTGTGTCTGTCTATCTCTTTTGCATCTTTGAATTTCTCTTCTGCTCACCCTCTCGACCTTTTCTCATTTTGATGTTTTTTCCTTATGTGAAGCCTGAAGTCAACTAAGGGGCTAATGATAACTATCAAAACGCCTGCTATTTGAAATTAATAAATTTATTCCCATAATAATTTATTAGAGGATTCGATCAGACCAGGTTTAAAAAGTGTATGACTTATCAAAATTTGACTAAAACTCAATAATATCTGGTAGTAACACGACTGGCAATATATTACGACTATGAGAATGCTAGGGGTAGTAAAACCAGAAATTTGGGCCAGATTTGAGCTGTTACAAAATTTTATTAGTCAGTGTTCACAAAGCCTCCTCTCGATCTTGGTATTCTCTGGAACATCATGGTGTTCATGTGCATCTCGAGTTGAATATCACAAGATCAAAATTCACTCTAAAATTATGGTTGTTAATGGTAGGTAGGGACATTTATTAACTAAATCCTAGGTAGAATACAAGTTTCTCTTCGAATAATGGCTCCGTATTGATTTTGCCTCAATTCGGTACTCAATGGGAATAGGGTATTCAGAGGAAATCGTTATTTTCTTAAATAGTTTAATATATTCATTTGAGCGAGTGGTTTTTGCGATAAATGTCACTTTGGTTGGAAGTGTGCAATTCATTCATATCACATCCATCACGTTTTAGCTATGACAATTTGGAAATACTTAGGTAATGCGAGTTAATAAATCAGAACATTGCTCAAGCCTACTTGATGTATTGAGATGACTTTATTGAAGTAGAGTGAGCTCCTTTGATTAATGCTTAGGAGCCTAGTTGTAACATGTGCTTGGGGAAACTTATCGATCTCAAAGTGTATTTTTTGCTCTCCAATTGGTTCTTTTGAAATGTAACGCGTACTTCAACAGGTTATCTGGTCACCCTGTATCAGTGTCAAACAACCTGTCTACCAATTTCGTACCAGTTACTAATAAAGTTGGTTTACAACTACCAGAGTCTCTAATAAATTCATCCAAAAGCGTTTGAATGATTCCAAAGAGAATTTTGCATAATTTTTTTGGCACACGCCATTTCTATAGTAAAGAGGAAGACTTGGAGGCACGTTTTCGGTGTGATTGTTTCATTCCGTTTTATTTTAAATAACCTTCATGCATTCGATAAGAGCCATTGATGGTGATATCGCCACATAAGGTGAATTCTATTGAGCTTGGCTGTATTTTAAATACACTCACATAGTCCTATTAATTAGCACACGCTATTTTACACGAGGCCAATTAATTGAAGTGGCATGACGAAAGAGTTAATTAAATTGATAGGTCAATTGGCTTTGATGTTTTCAGGATCCTACTAAAGTGAGTTTCTAGATCTTCAAATAAATTTCCTTCAAACTATTCTGTTCGAGTATAATTTATTTCATTAAAATTGGGGTGCGCGATAGACTTACCTCTACGGCAAAAGAGTCTATTACTCGGCATTTGATTTCAATTAATTATGATTAGCGTGAAACGAAGCTATAAGAGATTATGATTAGATTGAAAAAAGGCTATAAGAGAAATCGCCCTTATTAGCTTTGAAAAAGGCTATAAGAAAAATCGCCCTCGCAGAGCTTTAAAAAAGGCTATAAGAGAAATCGCCCTCGTCAGGGCGAATCACAACTTCCACAGATCCTTCAGTGGAATGCTGGAGGGATGTCACAGGACAACAAGATCCAAATCCAGAAAATCCTATATACCTATGATATAGACATATTCACAATCATGGAAGCTAACCTCACGGATGACCCCAGAGATATTGGTACGCCAAAAGACAACTAATGAACTGCAATTAATTAACTGCTATATACGCTCTCCCTCCCCGTGGAGAAAGCTGAAGTCAACTAAGGGACTAGTGATAAATATCATAAAGCCTGCCATTTGAAATAATAATAATAATTGAGCTTTGTTTCACATAGGACTCAAAGGAAGCGAGAAATTCAATTCAAATAATCGTTAAGTAGGATTCATTTGGAATGTGGAACAAGAGGAATACTGTGCCGAAATATTATTTTCTTGCAGATGAAGCTGACTTTTTTGTTTGAGCTTCTTAAATCTCTCTCATGTATTTTCCACTTAGTGCTTTGAAATAGATATATATTATATACACATTGAATGCAACCCGGTCGAACAACATTTCACCAACATTTAATTGGTCGAATCGAAACCTCAAAGGCAACGTGGCCTCTATATAATCAATTTAAATAAACTCAAGTTTTTTTCTTTAGAAATGAGGAAATGGTTATACTCCAACGATGCTTGATTATTGAATAGCCTTAGTGAAAAGGACCGTAAGTACATTATTTTGCACAGTTCGAAACTCGAACTCTATAATCTTTTATAAGAGAGACCTCAAAATATTAAAAACTCAATAATTCTCAAATATGAATTGGAGAATCGGTTTGGTAATTTAGAGTTATTTTGGAAACGTGGCAAACAGTTATTATAGCCCTCACAAAACTTGAAAAATTTCCAACCATGAGAGAGCTTCTTTTGCCTGGCATAATTGTCAGGAATATCTCCACACCAAATAAAGAAGTGACGAAATGCACTAAGTTGGCTTCTCAGTAACTTGTGCTTGCGCAAGTATTAATGACGTGAACGTTCAATCTGGCATGGCAAAACCTTTCATAAATGAAAAATTCAGGCATTTCGTTAAACATTTCATTATTAATTAAATATATGGAATGTTGCAGCTTTCACCCGATTAAGGAATATTTTCCAACCTTCTCGTGGCTCCGCTAATAAATCAATGGAATACCTGTCTCAGCAACATCTTTACTTTATTTCACCAACGACAAGAACCAAATTAGCAACTTTATCTGGTTAAAGGAAGGATCGGCGTGGAAATGGGCATGCATGCATTTATAACTTTAGAGTTCAAGCTCATTGCAGCTTCTCCGAAAGTTGCAAAAAGGCCGTTTGTTTTTTAATGCAAAAGTCTACGTGCGAACTTCTCAAGGCCAATTAATCAGCTGAGGACGTATTTGTAATAATTTGCTTGCTCCAATTTTCGGACGACTTTCCTATTGGCTAATTTGCAGTATCTCGAGAGTAATTATTAGAGGTGCCAAACATATTTACTTATCAAGTCCTTTTGTGAACACTGTGAATTATTAGCCCAAGAAATGGAAGTGAAATTTTATTCTGTTTAAAAATATTCACCTTCATTTTGGTCACGATTGTATTCTAACTAAAAAATTCACTTTTAATTGATAAAAACCTCTTACCTTTTCTAAGGACTCAAACAAGATAACTGGCACTGTCTACAAGGAAATCATTTTTATTTAGAATATTACCCGATCGAATAATTGGTTAAAATCGTTTACTGTGCCGGTTACCAACCATTTTAATGTGTTACAATCGAATTCCAATGTAATAAAATGGAAATATTTATTAATCCATTAGAATATTTTTTCGTTCACAGAGCTTTAAAACATGGACGTGTTTGTAATAGTCACTGGTATTACCATGTTGCGCATATTCATTAGAATTCTTTCCTCCCCAAATGGTAAATAAGTGTACTTTTACTGAATTACACATGTATTTCACATCGGTTGCTCGTGATTGTGTGATTTTCATATCCCTTTGTTAAAAGATCCTATCAACGATATTCCAGAATTTTTTGTCAGGATTTAATTTAATTTTTGAGCTCCTATTGGATGCCGCCTGGATGATTGGATGATTCAAATGCCGCTGCTGTATATTTAAGGAACTAGTGGAGACGAGAATGCTAACGATAACTTGAAACCAGCTACTGTAAGTACACACGCACGCATACAGAGTGAGAGAGAACACAATGGCAACATTTGCACCCGGATCACTTGAGGCCGAATGTCCAGGAGGTTTGGATTGGGCTTGGGACGCTCTCGGTGAATGCATTCGCTCAACCAGAGACCTGGTTTCCATCATATTTGGCATTATGAGCATTATCTGCTGGGTCATCTTCGGTTTGCCGCAAATTATTGAAAACTGCAGGAAGAAGATACCCGACGCTGCAGTCTCAATATTTTTGCTCCTATTTTGGGTTTTTGGTGACTCACTCAACTTTATTGGCAGCTTCCTCACTAATCAACTCTTCCTACAGGCAAGTTAATGGTTATCAAATGAAAAAATTGCCATTTTTCAACAATGATTAATTTGCCAATTATACTAATATATAATTTAGAAATTATTGGCTGGCTATACAGTTTTCATTGATATCGTCCTCTTCTCGCAATACGTGTTCTACAAGCACCGAAATAAGAAACTACGTGAGAGTAGGTGTAATTTTATTTAATTTTCAATTAGTAAACCCTACAGTACCATGATGGTCAAAAGTTTAACCCTTGAATATGAATAATTTCTTGCGCTCAATTGAAACTCGAGATATAATTAAATTTAATTAAACTTCAATTATTTTTACTTGTTTTCAAAAGAAGAACTTGAAGAGTATTCCAGTGATGAAAAAGATGAAATTTCTGAGGAAATGGCAACCAAGGGGAAGATTCTACTAACAGCTCTATTCGGGATTACTGGAGTAGGAATTCTGTCAGTGAGTGCAGGCCAATCATCCATGGTGGATGCATCTTCTGGATATGTAACACGACAACTGCTCCAATCCGCGGAGGCCCCAGGTCCTTTTGACGACTTTCTACCCGTGAGCTCATTGCACTACAATAGTAGCGCTAATTCATTCAATTCAAGGGAGTATAATTGGTCTTATGTGATTCACATTCTAGACAGTAGGTGAAAAGATTGGCTATGCATTTGGCTGGATTAGCTTCTTCATGTACGCTTCCGGACGATGTCACCAAATCTATCTCAACGTGAGTTCAGAAAAATTCTGAAAAACAAACATCTTAAAGTAAAACTACTTTTGACGTTATTCTCATATATTATGCATAATTTTAGTGGCACAGAAAGACAACGGAGGGTCTAAGCGTGTACCTCTTTGTACTGGCCGTCCTAGGAAACGTCTTTTATTCTTGTCAAATTTTTATCCGATCAATTGATGCCGTTTTTGTGGTTACATCGTTGCCATGGATTCTCGGTAGTCTAGGAATGCTGGTGTTTGATTTTATCGTAAGTCACAAAATTAAAACAAATTAACATTAAAGTTATTATTACACGTTATCTAGTGGGATCACACCCTCTAGGAATGATGAAATTAGTTTTCTTTTTCACCAATTAAAGCGCATCATGTTGACGTCACTTGTACTTAATCGTAGCACAGGCCTACATTGACTCTAATGCTTTGTGTTCATATTTCAGATCTTCGCGCAATTTTTCCACTACAGAGATAATAAACCTGAAAATATGGATGTTGAATTTGTTTCCGAGGAAGAAAGTTCTTAATGAGCGTAGGAGAGAATCCACCTAATGACCATCTTTCCAATGGCCCCCCCCACCCGCGTTTCCATGTATATAAACACACTCTTTTTTGATTTTTTCAAAACTTTTCTTTTGACCAATATTTATTGTTTTGATTTCCCACTGGTAGTTGGTGGTTTGAAAAAATGCATAATAAAATTAGTAAAGTAAAGTGATATCATCCAATTTAATCACGAGAGTGAAATTCAATCTCCTAGAGCTTAGTACAGGTAAATTTGGGTAAATTTTATTTGTAAGAATATGAGCTTTTTGTAAGAAATTGGTAGAACTGTACTCAGCTGACACAAGTCCTTCCTGAATTTTAATTGTCCACGTATTTAATTTAATTTCCGGGGCGCGCAATAGACTTACCTCCACGTGGTGCACCCTGGGCAACGTATACTCATACGACAAAAAGTTTATTGGTCGGCAATTGACTTCTGACTTAAAACTACTATGGCCGTACTATTTGTCATATTCGACCCCTTTCGCAGTACTCATCTTACCTTTTCTCTGCCTTTGTGTCTGTCTGTCTCTTTTGCATCTGTGAATCACTCTTCTGTTCCCCCCTCTCGACTTTTTGTTACTTCGATGTTCCTTCTCCTCTCTGTGAAGCCCCGAAGTCAGCTCCAGGGCTAAGGATAACTATCAAAACGCCTGCCATTTGATATAAATAAGTAAAATAGCCTATAACCACAGGTGAAAGCCACAACAATTTTAGAACAGAATACGTATATGTTCCGGTAAAAATAAAACATTTTAGAGATCTTAGTCGTTTCTTAGATGCACTTTTGAATCGAATGTTTAAAACCCTGGTGTCTTTACTATTTTCTAGTGAACTCAGAGAGGCTATAGACATCAATAAGAGTTTAAAAAGACTCCACTTGGGTATATCTAAGAATATTTCTGTAGGAGAGAAGAAAAATTTGTTGAGCCTGTGTTAACATTTAAATAAATTAATGAAATTAATGAACTAATTGTACC